TCAAGGGCAATTTCTACACTAATCAAAGCAGTCCCTTTGCCACTAAGCTTTACAAATTCATATGTGTTTTTGACTTCCTACTTCTTTAAGTAATTTAGATTCTTAAAACTCAGGGCTGTTAACAAAAGCACTTTTTCCCTCCAACAGCAACTGGAATAGAAAAGTAATCTCTCCTCTGGTATGTCAAGTTCAAGACAAATACAATATATTTCTGCCCCGTGAAGATTAGATTAATAGCAGAGACCCACAGTTTCATGGTACCTATTAAGATGAAATGCACTCAGTAAATATTAATTCACAGTCGAAGAGGCAGATAGGTTTGATGAAAGAAGGCTGAGTCTGGAGACCAGAATTCTTTCTAGTGCTGGCTTTGCCAGTAGCCTAAAAATCAGAGAATTTTAGCTCTGCATAATCACTAGGGTTGGGGAAGTAATTTCACCTCTGTGGGCCTCCATTACCACAAAAGAAGGGTTTGAGACTAGCTCATCTCTACTGCTCACCTAAACAGTAAACAAGAAAGATCTCTAGTTCTGGGACCACAAGATAAAAGTTGAAAACTCTATCCTGCTTTCCACTAATCCTTATAAAATAAATTTCATTATAACACATTTTCAGCAAGCAAATGTTTCTTTCAGAAGTTTGAAAAGGAAGATAATCAATGGCAATTCCAGTGTATTTTGCATTGTTCAAAGTAAATAAGAAAAATGAGGATCGTATTAATTAAAGATTATCATATGCCAGCCAAGGACATGTGAAAAGCTATTACAAAGAAAAAAAAGTCTCTTCTATACAAAAATATTTACATTAGTTCTTTTTGTAGTGGTAAAGAACTAGAAACTAGAGGGAGTACCCATCAACAGGGTAATGGCTGAATAAATTAGAATGTAATGGAATTCTATTGTGTTGTAAGAAATACAAAAGGAATTGTTTCCAAGAAATGTAGGAATACTCTGAAAAACACTGCCCTGGCCCTGACAGAGAGGTGATGACTAAATATATAAAATGTAACTTATATTTTTAGAAATAATCAATATGGAAATGTTTTCCTTGAATGCATATTTGTTACAGAGGTTTATGTTTTTTTAGTGAGGGAGGAAATGGGAGGGAAGAAAAATAAATGTTTGATAATTGAAAAAAAGTAAATAAGCTATGACTATTCATTAATATTTTCTGCTATCACTTGACTCTGCTAGAAAAAATAGTCTGCTTTTTATTACAATTTCCTAAGTTTAGATTGCTTACAATAATTTTAGAGGATCAAGGAAAACATTATAAATATATAAAATTTAAAATACTCTTTTAGTACATGAAAAAATTAGTTGTGTGATTTTAGGCAAGTCATTTGATTCCTCTAACAAAAATAAGATACTGAGGAGAGAGATTAGAACATTTAGATCCACTCCTAACCCTCAAATAGTCTTAAAAGTGATCATTAACAAAGTATTCTTGTTGCCTCTGTTTTCAGAATTAATGTTGTTGAGTTATTTCAGTTCCGCATTGACCCCTCTGGGGTTTTCTTGGCAAAGATACATGGTTTGCCATTTCCTTCCCCAGCTTATTTTACAGATGAGGAACTGAAGCAAACAAGGTTAAATGACTTGCCCAAAGTCACACAGCTAGTAAGTATCTGAGGCCAGATTTGAATTCAGGAAGATGAGCTCCTGACTTGATGCCCAGCATTCTATCCACTGCACCAACGACTGAATGGGAATATCGTTGTTGTTGTTCAGTCATGTCCAACTCTTCATGACCCCATTTGGGGTTTTCTTGGCAAAGATATTGGAGTGGTTTGCCATTTCCTTCTTGAGCCCATTTTACAGAAGAAACTGAGGCAAACAGGGTGAAGTAACTTGCCTAAGATGGATTTGAATTCAGGAAGATAAGTCTTCCTGACTCTAGTCTTAGTACTCTATTAACTAGCTGCCCCCAGAATAGGAATATTATACTAATAATATCCTTTTTAAAATACTGAATTTATTAAATGAAATATTACTTTCAGAACCACACATGGAATCATGGAATCTCAGGCCATCTAGACTACCCATTAACCTGAAGAACTTCATCCTGAAAGACCCCATTCCACTTTCCAATAGCTATAATCATTAAGAAAGTTTTCCTTCCATAAAAGCTAGGATCTACCTTTGTGACTTCCACATTTTGCTCCCAGTTCTGCCCTCTCTCCAGACAGAATGTGTCACTGCTTTTAAAAGTGAAGGCCCTTAAAAATTCAAATACAATCATCATGCCCTTAACTATTCTTTTTCAAGCTAAATATGTCTAAATCCTTTACCTGATCCTCCTATAGCCTGATCTTTAATAAAGTCCTTCACAATCCAGTTGGCCAATATTTATATATTCTCAAGTTTATCAGTATCCTTTCCAAACTGTGGAGTGCAAAAGTGAACTCAGGTCTCCCAATGTAGTCTGACTTCTCTAATCCATCCTCCACTCAGCTACCAAAGAGATATTCCTAAACCCCAGGGTCCCACCATGACATTCCTTCACTTAATATATGCCAGAGGTTATTACTTCCAGAATAAAGAGAAAAGGTCTCTGTTTGGCACTGAAAGCTCTTCATTAGCATGACTCCCAAACTTTACCCACTCTACATTCCAGCCAAACTGTCCTTTTTTGCTCTCCCTCAAACACAGCGTTCTATGTCTCACCTCCGAACCTTTGCACTGGACTGTTTTCAATCCCTGAAATGCACATCCTCTGTGCCCCTACCTCTTTGATTCCCTAATTTTCTTCAAATTTCAGCTCAGATACAACTTCCAACATATTTTTCCTGGTCTGCCCAGAAGCTAGTACCTAAGTTAGCTTGGATTTGTATAAATTGTGCTTTTATGTATACAAGTCATACATATTGCCTCCTGTAAAAGAATACAAATCCCGTGAAGGCAGGGACTATTTCATTTTTGTTTCTATCGCCTAACAGAATGCCTAGCATTGGAAAAAAAAGGTTTGTTGACTGATTGCTCTGACAAAATACAGCACAGCTATCATCTCCCTTGTCCTGCAAACTATGCTTCTCTTAATGTGGCCTAGGATTGTATTAACTTTCTTTCTGTCAAAAAAAAATTACAAAAAACAAAAAACAAAAAAACTTTCTGTCTTCACATTATTGACTTATATTGAGCAGTCAATCCACTAAAACCCCAAGATCTTTTTCAAATGAACTGCTGCCTGGGCATCTAATTCTCCATCTTGAACACATGAAGTTGATTTTTTGAACCTAAATACAAAACTTTACATTTATCCCTATTAAATGTCAGCTTATCAAGCTTGGCCCAATATAAGAGCCTATTGAGATATTTTTGGATACTGACCCTATCATCCACTGTGTTAGCTGCCGTCACCCTAGCTTTGTGTCCTCTATAAATATAATAAGCACATGCCCCCCTCTAACCCTTCATGCATGTTAAGAGTTTGACTTAAAAAAAAAAGAGTTCTATCAGTCTTTACTGGTCCATAGGGATATTTCTTCCAAGTTGACACAAACCCATTCAATTAATGATGACAATACAAATCCAGCCCTTCAATGAGTTCAGAATCTACACCTAACTATGTAATCACCATAGCCCCACATCTACTCATCGTCTCCACAAAGGCATGACTTTGCCAAAGGCTTCACTAAAAATCTGGATAAATGAACACAGTAGCCTTGTGTTTGATAAAGGCAAAGACCCTAGCTACTGGTAAGAACTCACTATTCAACAAAAACTGCAGAGAGAATTGGAAAGCAATCTGACAAAAACTAGGCACAGACCAACATCTCACACCAAGCTCCTAATAAGTATGTGAATTAGACACAGAGTGACATCCTCAATGAAATAGGAACAAGGAAGAAATTACTTTTCAGATTTATGAATAGGGAAAGTGTTCATGACTAAAAAAAGGGGGAGAGAAAGGATCACAGATGAATTAAAAAGATTTTACAGCAACAAAACCAATACAATTAAAATTAAAAAAGAAACAGGTAACTGGAAAATTATTTTGTAACAAGTTTCTTTGATAAGGATCTCATTTTCAAGATATGTAAGGGACAGATTCAAAATTAAAAGAAAGCCATCCCTAGTTGATAAATGGTGAAAGGATATGAACAGCTAGCTCTCAGAAGATCCATGATAAAAAATGCTAGTCACCTCCTGACAGAGATGATGAACTCAGAGCACAGACAGAGGCATATAATTTTGGACCGTGACCAATGTCGAAATTTGTTTTGTTTGATCATGTGTATTTATTAGAAGGGTATTTTTTTTTCTTATGAAGGGGGAAGTGGAAGAGAGAGAAGCTGATTTTTGTTAATTAAAAAAATTGAAATTTTAAAAATTTTGGGAACATTCATTACCAGAATTTAATTTCTCCTTTAAAAAACCTACTACCTCCCATCTTCTGATGAGATGGCTGCCTTCTCCAAAAAGTCAAAGATTAAAAAAAATTCCAAGTAATGCATATCTTAAATATGCAATCACTCTGGTGTAGTACTATTTGTCATATTTACTATGAAGGTATTTATTCTCTCAAACTAAATTAATTTTCAGGTCAATATTTTGTTGTGCAAAAGCACAATGAACAAGGAGATCTTTATTGAAAAAATTCTGGAATCCAGTTCTTGTGATTTAAGTTTACCTCAACAATTTCTCTTCATTCTCCCTCATCCTTTCTTCCTTCCTATTCTTCTGTAACCAAGGCTAGAGGAGGGGAACAGTTAACTGGGAAGGAAAGATAGAATGGACAATACCAAACAAAATCTCTGATCTAGAAATTAGGTCACAGACATGGTCCCATACAAAACAAACAACTGCAGAGCCTATTTGCTGCTGAGAAATCCCCAAAAGACCAAAGATGCTTACTCAATGATAGCCTCATCACCCTTGAATGCGCACAGAGCTCATGGAACTGTCTACAAATTGTGAAGTTATGTAGGGTAATTGAGCTCAGGAATAAAAACTTAGTCTTCTGTTTATCTTTTCATTGCATTAACTAAAGAAGAAGGAATCTAAAAGTGGACCAGTTCCCAGGAATCCCTAAGACCAAGGTGACACAGGGCAAGCCTGAAAGCCTAAGACTTACCTCTGCCTGCTCATAAACCCAAAATCAGAAGCCAAGTAACTTCTGGGGAAATGTAGATGTTTCCTAAGTGAATTCTTGCTAAGGTAAGGCCTCTGGTGGGGACAAGGTAACTCAGAAAAGATGGTAAGAATGATAAAGATAACAACCTAAATAACAAACACCAAAGAGAAGTAAACATTCTAGTTTTATTTACCTAGGCCACAAACTCTTATTAAAGGATTACTATTTGCAAAGAACTGAGAGGGATTTTTGTTTACAACCATAATTTAATCAGCAACCTTGTAAAGAAACTAGTATAAAAACAAACAATTGTTTTTTCTAAGCAACAGAGGTAAGAAGCCTCATTAAATCAAATTAGTCTGAGTAATTACAAATGTTTGAATATTATGCATTTTAAAAACTAGTTAGGTTTAGCAGAGGAATCCAATAGTCATACAGAGGTACTGCTTCACCATTTCTGTAGTCTCAGCAAAATGTATTTCCTCACTCAGTGTATCTCACAATACATCCATAATTCACCCTGTATAACTCTTATATAGTATCCTCTCAAAAATAGAGGGGCCAGAGTCCTGAAGGTAGTTTCTCTAGGTCCTTTATGATTTCATGGGAAGCATTATGTCACAGAACTGTCCATCAACTATTATCCTCTGCCCTTGTTATATGACCAATCCACCTCCATTTCCAATAACACAAATCTTGGATTGTAACATCATGTCATAATTCCTCACTGTTATGATGCTGCAGCCCACTAACACCTACTTTATATCATTCCATTGATCCCTGAATCACCTATAACTTTGAATCTTTGGTATAATCTTTGAATATTTGGTGTATTGAATCATGCTGTATTCCACGATTCATAGCCACATAGCATAACTTATCAGATTACTGATGTTAAGAAAATGTTAATTTTGCTTCAGCAAGCTACTTGGAATAATGGAAATTACTCTACAATTACCTAAATTCAAGGCCTAAGTCATTGTCCATAAGCAGTTATATATTTACTGATGGACCTCAATGGGTTGGCCATTCAATATACAAAATCAGAGTTTAGACAACAGATATTCCTTTTGCTTTCCCCGTGGAGTTTGTTAGACTCAACTCTTATGGTTGTGGTTCTAGGTCTCATTAAAGAAGATTTGTAATATTCTTGCTCTCAATGCAATCAACACAACGTTACCTCTAAACAATAACCTGTGGAGGAATATTCTATGCTATCTATAGAAGGAATTCTTTAAACTCTCTTGTACCATGGACATTTTTGGCAGTTGGAATCCCATGAGTCTCTTCTTATAATAGTGGAGGTTTTTTTCATGCATGAAATAAAACAGAGAAGATAAGAAAGGAAATCAATTCATTGAAATAGTTATCAATTTAAAAAAATATAAATTCGCAGACCCTGGGTTAATAACCCCTGATCAATAAGGAATGGGTCTTCCATTTGGACTCTGTGACAGAAATCTACCATGACAGCATCAAACACCTTTGGTAAGTATATATACCTACATCTTCCTGCTTTATATCTTGCGTAACAATGCTATTTAGAGGATCTTTCAACCATACTCTTTCGTTACATACAATGAGAAATTTTGTAAGATTTTAACCTGAATACCTCTTATAAGAGAAAGACTTTAAGTCTGTAATTTGCTTCAGTACTTCAAATTCCTTTTTTAAAAGAAATCAATAAATAAATCCAGTGGGATCTTGTATTCGCTGTACTCTCATGACAATGAAGTGTGATTTCTGTATATTATGCAATAGAATATTTTGCAAAAACCTATCTGTTCCCTTATCATACTTCTATAAGGAATGACTTTGATAATGTGCATTAATTATTCTCATGAAGATATGAGAAAGAAGGTATCAGCGTCAATAGTAAGGATCTTCTCTTTACTGGATTTTTTTGGTGGTAATAACAAGCATTAAGTTTTTTCCCCAAATATTTGGTATTCTACTCTCCTTTATATGTCTTGAGAATCAATGATTCAGTGCCTTTAAAACTCTGAAGTACAATTCTCTTCTGTGAATACTTATGTCTGGTATGACTGCTCTTCCCCTTTGTTTTGTCTAGTTACATAGTTACTTATATAAACAGCATAATGGTTAACAGTCCAAATATGGAGGCTCATCTATTATTAATGCATATCATAAAAATCCTGACAAATCTGTTCCATTTTTCACCTATTTGTTATCCTAATTTTCATCTTTAAATGTTTATCGCATGAGCTAAGTCAAGTCTTAACTAATTAAAATCATAAAAATATGCTAAAAGATTCAAAAGCATTTTTAGTCACAAATGTTCTTAGTGTGTTAAGTAACAAAAGAAAACTATGCAGGGATTAAATTTTGACACATATAATCTATATGCAAAAAATTAAAAGCTACTCATTACCAGCCCAGTTCTTCTAACTGTAGGTTTTATGTATTCAGAGGCACTTATCTGGAAAAGTAGAATTCAATCTTTAGTCCCCTAAACAAGATAAAAATTACATTTTAAATTCCATTAAGAATGAATTTTTCTTGGCTTTTAAAGTAATATCAGCCTTCTTTGAAAAAAAAGATTCCACACAGACAGAATGACTGAAGACCTAACCAGGGGTGAGGAACCTGCATCCTCAAGGATACATGTGGCCCTGCAGGTCCTCAAGTGCAGCCCTTTGACTGAATCCAAACTTATGACCTGCAGGGCCACATGTGGCCTCAACACCACAGGTTCCCCACCCCCCTGAATCCTAAACACTGAAAGTGATACAAGAACACATAGAGGCCTCTAAGTCACTTTTAATATGGAAACTGAACTGACAGCTTCAAATTCTAGGATCATGGAATTTCATGCTCATACTTTCTGACAGGTTGGAGAACAGGTTCTGAACAGGTGCATACATATTGTTTCATTTTCATTATTACACCATGCCATATTATTCTATTTCAGTAAAGCATGCATACTCCCTTGTTAATTCATTTGACAAACATTTTGCAAGTGCCTGATATGTACAGTGGATAGAGTGCCAGGCCTGGAGTCAGGAAGACATGAATTCAAATCCAGCCTTAGACATTTACTGGCCATGTGATCCTGGGCAAGTCACTTCAACTCTGTTTACCTCAGTTTCTTCATTTGTAAAATGAGGATAATAATAGCATTTATCTTCCAGGGATGTTGTGAGGATCAGATGAGGTAAAAATTATAAAGTGCTTAGCACAGAGCCTGGCACATAGTAAGTATTATATAAATGCAACTATTATTATTATCTTTTCCTAGGATTAAAGGAAACATATTAGATGAGTTCAAAAAGTAGGTGAGCCATCCAAGCGTCTCTCTTCCTATGCCCCTTCTAAATCAATGCTTTAGGAAATTGTTTTGGTTTTTGATTTGTTTCTAATACAACTCCTCCCATTCTCCTACCCATCATCATACTTCTGGATCCAAAATTACTCTTGTTATAAAATAGGGCAGCTAGGTGGCACAGTGGATAAGAGTACCTGGCCTGCCTCAGGAAGACTGAATTCAAATCTGACCTCAGATACTTATGAACTAAGTGACCCTGGGCAAGTCACTTAGCCCTGTTTGTTTTAGTTTTCTCATCTTTAAATGGAGCTGGAGAAGGAAACGGCAAGCCACTCTACTCTCTTTGTCAAGAAAACCCCAATGGGGTCACAAAGATTCAGACAACTGAAACAACTGAACAACAACAAATGTGCTAGTTATGGCAGATGAAAAAATAAATAAAATCCACCCCTTGCCCTAAAGAAACTTACAAATTAAAACAAGTGATCATACACACACACATACACACACACACACACACACACATACAAACATTATGCAGATTCTATACAAGTCCATATGAGTAATATAAAGTGCTTAGCTGATCTCTGCTTGTTAGATTGTGATGTGATATTTGAACCAATTGTCATGTTTGCATCGATGTAACATACGGTAAACAGGAAATCACAAAGTCATTGAATCTTACGGGCTACAAGAGATCTTAGAGAACACAGTGCCATAATGGAAAGAATACTGGTTCTACAATTAGAGAACCTAAGTTGTGACCTGGGGCAAGTCCCTGGGCTTCAAGTTTCCCCTTCTGCAAAATGAGGTTCCTTTCAAGGTCCAGAAGTATGATTATTTAATCTTACCATCTCATTATGCAGATGAGAAAACTGAGGCCTTAGAAAATGAAACACTTTAGCCAAGCACAGAGTTGAAGGAAGAAATAATAGCAGAACCTAGGTCTAGTAATTCCCAGTACCATGCTGTGTGTATGTGTGTGTGTGTGTGTGTGTGTGTGTGTGTGTGTATGTAGGCTATTAATAATACTTTTGATATAAATACATGTTGTTGTTTAGAGGCTTCAGTCATATCCAACCCATTTGGGGTTTTCCTGGCAAAGATATTGGAGTGTTTTAGCATTTCCTTCTCCAGCTCATTTTGCAGATGAGGAAACTGAGACAGTGTTAAAAGTGACTTGCCCAGGGAGGCGGAGCCAAGATGGCAGAGTGAAAGCAGTAACTTGCTTGAGCTCTCCCCCAAACCCCTCCAAATACTCATAAAAAATGGCTCTAAACAAATTGTAAAGCAGCAGAACCCACAAAAAGAGAGAGTGAAGCAAATTTCCAGCCCAAGACAATCTGGATGATTGATCTGAAAGGTATACCACACCAGGCCAGGAGAGAAGCACAGTGCAGCATGGGGGCGCAGGCTACAGCAAAGCTGGAGCAGGCCTCAGAGGACTGAATCTCAGGCAGCTGTGGTGGTTTCCAGACTTCTCAACCCACAAACGCCAAAGACAACTTAAAAGGTCAGTGGGAAAAGTCTGTTTCTGCGGTGAGAGAGAAGCTAGATCTCAGAGCCAGTTACAGAGCACAGAGCAGGGCACCGGGGCAGTAGCTGGGCCCTGAGCTTCCGGCCCACAGACTGAGGGGGAATCCAGTGGCTGATCAGAGAGGGACTGCAGGGATCTGTTTGCCAGTGCTGAGGCAGGAATCTCTTGCTTTGCCTGTGCTTGGATCTGGGTCACGGTTCTGGGTGGCAGTCCTGGGGCGAGGAGGAGCCCTGGCGTGGGGGAGCTTGTAGTTAGTGGCTGTGGACATGAGCCCCTCCTCACAGTTCCAGGACAGAAAGGAGTGCTTGTGGTCACAGGCCAGGAAGGGAGTAAACACCTCAACCCTTATCACACCACCTTGCAAGAACTGAAAATTTACAGGTCCCTACAAGTATCTCTGAAAACAGCTGCATAAACCCCCAAAGCTTGGGACAGTACATCCTCCACATTGGAAGCAGACTCTTACCATAACAAAGAGTTTAAAACTCAAAGTAATTGGCTGGGATCATGAGCAAGCAGCACATAAAGAGTCAGACTATATTATCTTACTTTGGTGACAAAGATCAAAACATACAACCAGAAGAAGACAACAAAGTCAAAGCTCCTACATCCAAAGCCTCCAAGAAAAATATGAATCAGTCCCAGGCCTTGGAAGAGCTCAAAAGGGATTTTGAGAAGCAAGTAAGAGAAGTAGAGGAAAAACTGGGAAGAGAAATGAGAGTGATGCAAGAAAATCATGAAAAACAAGTCAACAGCTTGCTAAAGGAGACCCAAAAAAATACTGAAGAAAATAACACCTTAAAAAAATAGCCTAACCCAAATGGCAAAAGAGGTCCAAAAAGCTGATGAGGAGAAGAATGCCCTGAAAAGCAAAATTGGCCACATGGAAAAGGAAGTTCAAAAGATTACTGAAGAAAACACTTCCTTAAAAATTAGAATAGAGCAATTGGAAGCTAGTGACTTTATGAGAAATCAAGACACTGTAAAACAAATCCAAAGAATGAAAAAAATTAGAACAATGTGAAATATCTCATTGGAAAACAACTGACCTGGAAAATAGATCCAGGAGAGAGAATTTAAAAATTATTGGACTATCTGAAAGCCATGATCAAAAAAAGAGCATAGATGTCATCTTTCAAGAAATTGTAAAGGAAAACTGCCCTGATATTCTAGAACCAGAGGACAAAATAGAAATGGAAAGAATCTACCGATCTCCTCTAGAAAGAGATCCCCAAAGGAAAACTCCTAGGAATATTGTAGCCAAATTCCAGAGTCCTCAGGTCAAGGAGAAAATATTACAAGCTGCCAGAAAGAAACAATTCAAGTATTGTCGAAACACAATCAGGATAACACAAGATTTAGCAGCTTCTACATTAAAGGACAGCAGGGCATGGAATATAATATTCCAGAGGGCAAAGGAGATAGGATTACAACCAAGAACCACCTGCCCAACAAAACTGAGTATAATCCTTCAGAAGAAAAAATGGTAATTCAGTGAAATAGAGGACTTTCAAGCATTCTTGATGAAAAGACCAGAGCTGAATAGAAAATTTGACTTTCAAATACAAGACTCAAGTGGTACATGAAGAGGTAAACAGGATAGAGAAATCATAAGAGACTTATTAAGGTTGAACTGTTTACATTCCTGCATAGAAAGATGATATTTATAACTCATGAGACTTTTGTCAGTATTAGGGTAGTTGGAGGGGGAAAAATTATATGTATGGATACATAGACAGATAGATAGATAGATAGATAGATAGATAGATAGATAGATAGATAGACAGATAGATAAAATAAATAAATGGATGAATAAATAAAAAAATAAAAAGTGACTTGCCCAGGATAACATAGCTAGTAAATGTTTGTGGCTGGATTTGAACCCAGGCTTTCTTGACTCCAGGCTTGGCACTGTATCCACTATGCCACCTAGCTGCCCCTATAAATAAGCGTGGAGACAGAAAATACCACTTCCCTCTGTATCTTCTACAAAAGTCTGCAAAGTTTTATGTGAACTGGAAATACAGAACAATACAGCAAACGCAGTAAAAGGGTACTGACAAACTCAAAGGCATGTCAGAACTAACTCTGACGTAAGGACAGCCTATTTTTAGCATCCTGCCAAACGAACTTTAGTTTGTAACCATAAACCCAAAATGATAATCTAGGACTTGCTTGCAGGCACCAACATCCCAAATCCAGGCTCTTTCTACACTAGGAAACCAGATTATGAGGTTAAAAAAAAAAAGCCAAGCTAAAAATGCAATAGGTCTACTACCAATGCTATTTACAAACTGAATCTAATATTAGGAAATTTGGTCAATTGTCTCTATTCAACAGCTGAACTCACAGATTGCCAGTCTTTGTCTTGGAGAATCAAGTTCATTTGTTTCATTCTGTCAAATATAAATCAAGAGTGGAAATTCCCAGAGAGGCAATGGTAAAAAGGCCATCTATCTTAAATTTATCATCGTGATGAACCAACTCATATTGAGTATATATAACATGGCAGGTCCCAAAATAGATGCTGAAATATGGAGACTGGCGAAAACAGAAAGCTCAATGTCTTCACAGGGCCTATATTCCAAGATAGGCATAGAATTGAGAAGTCACAAGGACCTGAACAAACAGCGAGTTTCATGACACCTAAATTTATCTGGTTATTTTACATGAATCCTCTCCCTTTTATTTCTACTTTCCATCTTACTTGTAGGGTTTAAAATACAAAAAGACATTATCTCAACACTGAAAGAGACTTTAGAAAGGTTGACACAGGGATTGGTTGGTTGACCATTTGTTGTGACTTAGTAAAAGAAATTATTGTATTATTAGCAACAGATAACAATTAATTGACACTAATGTTTAAGCAACAGCAATTAACCACATGAAGTATCAGTCAAAAAATCATGTATTTTGTAGCAGGAGTTATTTGAGCGTTTAACGTAAAGTGTTATGCCAAAGAATTGGAAAAATAGTTTTAAAAAGATAAAACGCAAGAAGGCTACCAGCACTATACGAAAAAATGCTCAAAATAATTTATTTTTGGTTGGTACCTGTGATTTCACTGGCATTTCATCTGAAACTTAAAAGTTTACCTTGTCTAGATTGAGATATTAGGCAACTTGGCCATGGTCACCTACATGGTGTATGGGTAAAGTACTGGGCTTGGAATCAGGAAGACTCATTTATGTTCCTGAGTTCAAATTCAGCCTCAGACACTTACTAGCTGTGCGACTTGAAGCAAGTTATTTAAACCCTGTTTGCCTCAGGTCCTCTTGTGTAAAATGAGCTGGAGAAAGAAATGGCAAACCACTTTAGTATCTTTGCCAAGAAAACAACAAAATGAGGTCACAAAAAGGACTGAAACGACTAACGACAACTATAACCTGAAAATGTCTGAAGTGTGACTTGAAAGTTGACAGGGGGAACCAAAACAAAATTTTACCACAAAACTCAAGTCATAAGATTCCTAGATTTAGAATTGTAAAGGCCCGGAAGAGCCAGTAAGAACAACCCCAGGCAAATACAAAGGTTGGTTCCAAACTATTCAGGTTAAAGCCAACTTACTTTCAACTATTAACCAGAAAAATGAACAGCAACTTGCGCGGTCATTGCAACCATTATACAAGGAAATGTTTTTAACTGCCTTTTGTTTGTTTGTTTGTTTTTGTTTTTTAAAGGGAAAACAGAAGGAGATAGTTGTTAGGAAGTAACTGAAGTAAGGAAACAAAAAGTAGCAAGAAAAACAATAAAAATTTTTTAAATTACATGAGTCACTAAAGGAACAGGAAAAGTAATACAAAAAAGATTTTGTAAGGTGAGCACCTACTTCAAAATTTAGCTTAAGCTAACCCTGTTTACCTTTATTTGTGACAATGTTGCTTTTATTTACACAATGACAAAGAGCAGTTATACTCAGAACTATTTCTATCCACTCAAAATTTGGCTTAGGGAAACCATGGCTAGGGATCTTTAAATGATATTGAGTAATTACGGAATCAGGTTGATGAAGATTATCTGGAAAGGTTACATTTTACTAATGGGTAAGTAAACTGCAGGAATTCGAGCCAGAAAATTAATAACCAAGTAGCTATGAATTAAAGGCAAATATGATTTGGCATTGAGACCAGATCTTTGGTAGGGAAGAAGGAATGGATCTAAGAAAAAAAGTTATTTTTAAAGCAGCAAGACTTGGGACTGGACTAGCCGTGGTGGCAAGAAAAAAAAGATAAAGTTGTCTTGAAGATGACTCAGATGTCATGAGTCTGAGGGAAGCAAGGCAGATAATACAACCACCAGAGGAGACAAGGAAGTGGTAGGGGGAAATGGTGAGTAAGGGAACCTAAAGGAACTCTGCTAATAGTTACATGTTTGTGGTTTCTAAAGCCTAAAATGCAAGTACGAAATAAATTTTCTGAGCCCTGGTTAAAATTTAATAGTAAATATAATAACCAATTAAATGCACAAACTGTTGCATTAAAGGTTATTAAAATCTACAGAATCATAGAACTGGATAGGACCTTAGAAAATCATCTCATCCAATTTAACATTGAAGCAGGAGGCACAGAATTTTAGAGCTGGAAGAGCCATTAGAGAGCTCACCTACTTCAACTCCCTTATTTCACATGTCAGGAAACAGGTTAAGAGAGGACAAGTGATTTGCTCAAAGTTATACAGCCAGTAAGGAGGGTTCAGGTGTTTTATTTCCAAGCCTAGTGCTCTTTCAGTTATATGATCCTACCTCTCTGTCCAAATACACACTGAACAGTCTTTTTACTACCCAAGTATTGTGTCTACCTACTGTATGTATTGTAGAGTGCCTAGCACATACTGGATTCTACAAAATAAATTCATAGAAAGTCAATGAATCACCAAAAACCTTTTACATAATGAAAATGCTGTAAATATAGTTCACAGGATGGTGAAGTCAGTCAAAATGATCATATATACACAAGATTTGTCATAAAGACCAAGAAATTCCAGTCTTCTATAGAGGTATTTTGCTTGGAGGACTAATACCAAATGGACAAAGACAAAAGCCTACAGAATAAAAAAAAATAAATACTAAGGATTTGGGGGAAACCAGGTGGAGCAGCAGATAGAGTACTGGACTTGAGGTCAGAAAGATTCATTTGCGTGAGTTCAAATCTGGACTCAGATACTTTCTAGCTGTGTGACCCTGGGCAAATCACTTAACTTCTGCCTGCCTCAGTTCCTCATCTATAAAATGAGCTGGAGAAGGAAATGGCAAACCATTCCACTATTTTTGCCAAGACAACCTCAAATGATGTCATGAAGAGTCAGGCACAACTAAATGACTGAACAACAACAAAAGATTCTTACTCTGAAGTAACTCATCTTAGCAAGTGTGAGAGGCACCATTGTAGTACATAGAGGGTTGGTCTCAGAGCCAGAAAATTCTAGATTCACTAATTACCTCTCACATATTTTGGTAAATCACTCATCTTCTCAGTCCTCTGGGCAACTTTCTAGGACTATTAAGTTGCAGAGAAGGACATAACCTGCATCGGTAGACAGAGTTTGCTCCTTCTGAAAGTTTTCTATACCAATGAAATCATAGGTTCAATCCCTATATTCTTATTCTATCTTAGCACTTTCAAAAAGGATTGAGCACCATCATTGTCTGGGGTCAGAAAAGTAAAGAAAGAGTGGTCACAGTTTTCCTAAAATCACCACTCAGGTTGCAGAAAGCAGCTTATGGAAAGCAGGCTCTAAACCTATCCAGACAGAAAAAGACAAGCTATCTCTAAACTGCTACTAATAAGAAATCAAAGATAGAATCAATCATTTCGGCAGCCACTTGATAAACATTTCCCCGCATTCCTAGATACAGAATGGTATTTATTTTCACTTCCTTACGCCTTCCCCTTTTACCCACGTGCTAGGCTAATATTTGAACTTTGATATCACTTGTGTTATTGCAAACTTGTATCAGAAATGCCAGTGGCAATAATAGTATATGGTTACCTCACAGGCATATTTATGCAGATTTTGGCCCAAGGCCCCTCAAAACTTAAGGCTGTTTCTCCATAGATAGGATACTAGGCTAGAACCCACTTCCCACCTTAGAAACATGCAGATCACAGTATCAAAATGTGATTTCATCAAATAAAAATCAACAGAAATCGCACATATGCAACTGATAAAATCCCAGTGACTTTAAGATCACACACACACATACACACACACAGTGTATGTGCATGTGTATATACAGTATGTATATAGAGTGTGTGTGTATACATATGTATACACACACAGTGTATGTGCATGTGTATATACAGTATGTATATAGAGTGTGTGTGTATACATATGTATACACTATCTCCTAGATATATAGTATATATACTAGTATGCATGTGTCTGTATATGTATGTATATGTATATATGTATGTACACACACACACACACATACATACATACATATATACACTATCTCCTAGATTATCCATGTCTGACCCTAGTTCTTCCATTAGTAATTGTAGTCCATGAACAAACAATCGTTTTCCACTAAGCCGCTCCAATGACATAAGCCACTCTCTCAAAGTGCTGAGTTGCCTTTGGCAGGTGTGGACAGAACGTGTGGATGGACCTTCCACTGAGCTGCTCTGCCCACCACTTTCTGCTAGCATGATCACAGTTATGCTGTCCTCTGATGATGGGCTGCTTATTTCCTGAGATAATGTCTTCTTCCATATGCCCTGGGCACACATAGTTCTCCCTTAGAATTGTAGAGATTACAGAAGGAGCCTGAGAATTCCTCCCTTAGTCTGTAGAACTGAAGCTTTCAATTCAATGAACAGTAAGAATCAAGAGGGAGGCTATCTTGTTTACAATTCAATTACCTCAGAAAACCAGACGTTTACCCAGAAGTGCTATTGTAAGTAGAGTAACAATGGCAAACCAAACAGCAAAAGATGCACCAGGCAGTTGTCTCAGGGTTACAGGAGAGCCAACAGTATTGATTTTAAAGGTTAGGTGGTTCCCCTTCCAAAGGTTTATTGTCCAACGACTGGCAAATCAACCTTAGCTTTCCCCCATTATTTACAAGCAAGTACATGGTGGGAAAAATTGGAAATGCCTATGAGGCCAAATAGAGGTCATCAACATCCCAGCTCAAAAAAAGAGCATCATTCTTTTTAATCAAATATGTTTTCCAGGATGGCTAGCATTAATGTCTCCCAAATGAGCATAGGGAAGGAGATCAAATACCTTGCTGTCCTAAGCAGGGTGATATTACAAAACAAGGACATTTTAGGTACAACTTCAGTCTATGACCAGTAAAGTAATTTAATTAGAGCAAAATACTACTGAAGTCAGGGTCGTGGGTTTGACTCTCATAAATAAATGAATAGCACTTCAATCATCTCAGTACCAAGCTCTTTGACTGTATCTTACTCAACTCGATATTCTCTCTTCTCTGAACTCCATTCTAATGACTTGCTGTACATAACAGATGTTTGATAAATATTTGTTCAGTCAGTTGAAAGTCACTTCATTTTTCCAAAGTCATAGCTAACACTTCTAATTCTGACTATTAAAAAAAAAAATTCATGCCCTTGGTCACGATATGGGGTTGAGAAAGAAGAGAAAGAGAACTAACTTGCTGAGGTCCTGGGGTGACAGCAATACTTCTGTGCCCTTGCAATGGCTTTTCCCTATACTTGGAATGCTTTCCCTCCTCATTTCCAACTCCTCGAAAGTCTAGTTTCCTTCCAGGCTCAGCTCAAGCACCATCTTCTACTTGAGACTTTTACAGGTTACCCCTGCTTTGTTTCCCCACAAAATCCATCTTGTATCTCTTTTCTATACACTTTGTGAATATGGGCTCTGTAATACTTGTACTAAGCTGTTAAATATGCTAGAGCTTCCTTTTTTCACAGGGGAACCAGACAATGGAATAGCATAACAACTAGCCAATCAGAAGGATTTCTGATGCCCAGGGCTGCTTGACCGTACCAGTGATCCTTCGCAAAGTAAACATTAGCTAAACTCAGAGATGCCTGCAACTGCTGAAACCAGCCCTGACCAGCTTAGAGAGAGAAGAAAACATCTTGCTTTCTGATTTATTGTATTTACATATATCTTCTCCCTAGACCCCCACTTCCCACCTGACTTCCCAATTTATTGTGTTTCCTGACTTAGCCATAAATACCTCAAAAGTCCTAAGTACTTCAAATATAACTATCCCATCCTTTTCCACATCAATAATGAAAGTTTTTAAAAAATCATATGATTAAATCAATCGATGCAGAAAAGGCTTTTGATGGAGTTCAATACTCATTTCTATTAAAAAACACTTGAAAGTATTGGTATAAAGGGATTTTTTCTCAAATTAATAAAAAAGCATTTATCTAAAGCCATCAGCAAGTATTATTTGTCATAGGAATAAACTACAAGATCAGGATGCCTACCATCACCAGTATCATTCAATATTATATTGTAAATCCTAGCAGTAGCAATGAGAAGAAAAAGAAATGGAATCAGAGTAGGGAATGAGGCAATAAAACTATCTCTTTTTGCAGACAATATGATGACATACTTGGAAAATCCCAAAGACTCAACTAAAGAATTAGTTGGAACAATAATTTTAGCAAAGTAGCAGGATATAAAGTAAATCCACATAAATCATCAGCATTCCTGTGTATCACAAACAAACCTCTGCAAGAAGAGATAGTAAAGAGGCAGCTAGGTGGCTCCATGGATGGAGCACTGGCCCTGAAGTCAGGAAGACCTGAATTCAAATGTGGCCTCAGACACTTGACACTTGCTAGCAAATGTCTGGGATGTGAT